TTTTCAGACTTTATTTGTAATGGTAAACTACAGCTCTCCACCAAAATTTGGCTTTCCGGCAATTTTTGTTATTTGACCACTCTTTTTATGTCTAAATTGACCGGACTAAAGACTTTTCAAAGAAATAGCAAAGTTGTACAATTTATAGCATTGCACACACAATCTCTGATATTTCTTAGAAAAGTTTTTGGGGGGGAGGCGTTGCGTATGGCTGTGTGTGTCTGTGCCTGAGAATGTATTCTTTTCAACGTTGTTTAAATAGTAATTTGATATTCTATAAGATATCAAAGTATTATGTTCGATGCCTAGGAAAAACTGGAAGAATTTTTCAATTTCCGACTTCGTCTGAAGGCTCTTTGCAGTCATAGTAATGCCCAGGAATTACTAGCAATGACTGATTTCTGGCTTTGACGGTAACATATATAACATATTACAATCGAAATGAAAAATCGATTCGGATTTGAAATACCAAAAGAATGCCGAGGTCGCATCGATATTCTTCTTATTTACTCCGGGGAATAGTACTGTATCTATGAACATGACGGGAATAAATGCACGATCGGACAATTCTTTCCAAGAGATTCTTATCTATTTTTTTTCTTCTTTCTTTCTTCCGTTCTCTCTCTTTTTTTTTTTTTTTTTTCTATAATCCATCCATTTCCCGATGTTGTCCTTCGATTTTAAAAATAATTTAAAAATAATGCCAATTCATCGAAAATCACATAATAAACATTGTAATACGAATTGCGATTTCGAAGATTTTATATATACTTAAAGCTTAGCTTTAGATTATTTTATTTTCAAATTATTTGGTATAGATTAAGAACGATAGATACAATATTACGTAACATCGAGCCTACTATTAAAATGAATTAAATCAAATTTTCAATAATATAAACATCGATGACTAAAATTATTCTATTAAATTTTTTAATCAAAAATCTATATTTTCGCGATAAAAATCAATTTGTTTTTATAATGAAATATAAGAAATTTGTACATACACGTTAATGTTTTCATCGTAAAATGAAGAATAATGTTCAGTATAGCATCTGTTAAACTAATTCCTAGAAAAATAAATTTGTCGCATTATTGTGTGCTGTTTTATACATTTTTTGATAATTATGATAATCTTTGGATTATTTTAATCCCTAGAAAGCATACGTCAGAAGGAAAACAATGCAATCGTATAATCGTGGGACGTATACACAACACCCCACCCACGTGGAAAGTGTTTTAACAACGTGTTAAAAAAAAATTAAATGCTAAAGTTCTCGTTAGAAGAGAGCAAACGTTTTTTCGGTGTTTATGATTACGTGAATAAAATTCAGTCGTTGAGGAAGGAAAATAATTGGGAAAATAATTGGAAAAATAATGACGTCTTACAATTTTCTATTTTAGCATAACTATAGGAGGAGTCTCTTAATCCTCGACAAATTTAATGCACGAAGAATCACGTGGGTACTTTGCTTTTAAAAGAACAAATACAGTCCATGGTCTTATAATGTGTTATATATATATATACAAAAGGGAGAGAGTTGTTGTCTATTAATAACAAGACTGTAGTACGATGTATATATTGCGGTATCGGTGCTTGGAATAAATTAGTGCATTAGGGCGTATGTTTGACGCAAGGTGCGCGAGACATTCCCCTTATGGAAATATAATGTCGAGTGTGGATTTATTTTTGTTTTAAACGATAACGAATTATATTACATGTGTTAACATTACTTTGTGAAATCCGTTAATTCGCGAAATAATTATATCGCGCGATACACTTGTTTAAATATAATAAAAGAAAAATTACATAGTTCAATTAGGTATTATATTATGAAGTTACAAGAAGCGAATAGTTAATGTTAAGGTTAATGAAATTGAAATTCGTAGATTAAATTTGATATATAACGCGCGCGGCACTACTAATTGAATATTAGATTTCAAAATACGGAAAGAGATAAGAATGGATAATTACGAGTATTGTTGTAGATATAAAAAAAGTAACGACGGATCAAATTTCAATCTCATATTTTAACTATTCGCTACGTTAATTTACATAAAATTTTCAAAATATTTCAAAATATTTAACACTCTATTTATATTTAATATATATATATTATTATTATATTTATTTATATTTATATTATATTATATTATTATTTTACTCTATATATTTATTTATAAATATTTATATTTAATATTTGTAATATTAAAAGGAAAAAATATGGAAGGATTATTAAAATTTTCAATGAATATAAATTCATATAAAACTCGAGTGATTTGTTGTTTCCAGTGTTCAAGAAACGGATGGCTCGTTTTTCGAGAGTTTCACTGCTTTATCATGGAAACAAGAAAATCGTAGACTGGTGGCACTTCAAGAAGTTGAAGCTCGTGCCAAGGATGCACCACCGTCTTCCGGAGATGTCAATATAAATTCTTATCATTCTCGTCGAATCAACAAAGAAGAGGTCTTAGCACAAAAAAGAAATAAAACAAAACATTTCTCTATTTTTCTTTTTTCAAAGTTCAATTTTAGAAATGTGATATACCTACGTATATGTTTCTTTTGTTCAGATAGAAAAATTATACGTCGAAGTTCTATATACGATCGCGAACACTGTGGGAGCAAGTACGGGTCAGTACGCTCACTATAAAGAAGACCTTTATGGTTACGCGCAGGAAGCGTTTGGTATACCGCAGGATCAACATCGACGATACCTCGATATTGCTTCGAAAGAGAAGGTTCCTGCTCTATTTCATTTTACTTTACTTTATTTTCAAACCCAATTTTTGCCGTGCATAACTTATATTTTATATTTTTATTAACGAACAAAAAGAAGACCTATTAAATAAATTCGGAAATGAAAATAATGAATCGCGCGGAAACAATGAAAATATAGGTGAAAAAATTGCACCTTAATGTAACCGTGGCATCGGACCGGCCGACTCTAACTACGGAGCCCATCGTCCAAATTTTTTCACGAATCTTACAATATGATATTATTACAATTAATATTATAATATTAAAAGGTTTATATATTATCTAACAAAATAATAAGAAAAACATTTTCTCGTACAAATTATAGCCCCCTATCGTGGTACTAAGTGTAGTAGTTATCGAAGCTGAAGGATTAGAAGCCAAAGACGCAAACGGTAAATTAAATAATGATATTATTTAATAATGAATATTCGTGGAAAAAAAAAATAAGGGTATGGCTACTATTAGTGGTTCGATACGATAGGTTTCAGTGATCCATATTGTATGTTGGGCATACAACCAGGCAATACGAGCGCACCACTGAGCCCACAAACAAATTTGTCGGCTCATTCTCCTCACACACCTCCAGCTTCACCGAGACAAGCGGCTCGTGCTTTATCCGATGGAGGTGAGAACGATAACTCCCATCACGAAAAGCTACGAAAACATCATAGGTAAGAGAACGAAATAAATCAGATAAAAATGAATTACAAAAATGAATTACAAAAATGAATTACAGAAATAAATACAAAGTTCTTGATACTAAACCGTGTAATTTGACAGCTGTTCTATAGAATCAATAAATCAAAAAAATTCATCATATTATTAGCAAACATAATATTTTTCTAATCGAATTTTTATCCATGCAATTACGTTACTTATGTACGCTCATATATATGTGATGATAATTATAACATTGGGGATTAGATAAAAAGAAAAAAAAAGGAATACTAAAAATAAAAAAGATATTATAATAAATAATATATAACATCGAAAAAATAATTGTAATATGAAATAAAAACAAATAAAATTCACTTTTCATTTCCATTTGACTTATCGTTCGTTCAGGTGTCATAATTACCAGCATATATAATGCAACGGAGAAAACTGGGGGACAGTTAATAGGATATTTCTAGGACTATTCATGTTAAAATATCTAATCCACGAAAGACGGCTTCGTGTAACATTATCGAACTTAGTACAAAGCGCGAATATTTATCTCGAACAAACTCTCTTGACGAAGAGACAATGCAACGTGTGATAACAAAAGGTTCACCGGATGTAACAACTTCTGTTCTTACTTTACATGTTAGCTTGAAGTATAGCAAACGAAAGCACTAACACACGTGTAGTACTATGATTCTCCCTTCTTCTCACTCTCTCTCTCTCTCTCTCTATCTTTCTCTTATTAATGTTTAGCTACGCCATCTGGTATTAGAAAGAGAGAGAGAGAGAAAAAAAGAGTAGTACAATTAAATACCGTGCTGAGTGAACATAGAGTGTTTGATAGAACATTAGGATCGTTTATTAATTTTGTTTCTACATTTTTGTATTGTTACATCGGTGTCATGATTTGCCAATATTTTTGTTTCTATTTTATAATTGAATAATATCTGCCGAATTGTCGGAAATATGGTGAAACAACAACGGTTAATCATTTTGTTAGAAAAATAATCATTTATTTATTTCAATTTGAGACCGATATATAAGTCGTTAGAAAAAAAAAAAAAAAAAAGATATAAAGTATTTTCTGATTAAATTGATGGAATGTTTGTCGAATTGTCAGTTTCAGATTATCATTCAAACGCAAAGAGCATAACACCAGACGAGAACATCGAGAATCCTTTAGTGGAGCGGTTCCTGCCAAATTTATTCGCGCTACCACAGTGAAACCTCACACATTGAGTCCACAATGGAGAGAAAAATTTCGCTTGTAAATTATCACCACATCCCTAGATTTGTGTATTATTATTTTTTTTGTTCATTTTAATTTGAATTTTTGTACAGCAGTTTGTGTCGCTAAAATATCCAAGACTCTTTTTTAAAAGCATTCCAAAATACATTTTATTAATAATTAAACATTTTGTTCTTTTCTTTTATTTATCGATCAATTTTATATATACCAAATATAAAAAAATAACTAATTTGATAGATAAATTTGTTTGAAAATCAAAAATATAAATAAAATTGATAAAGTGGATACTTTGGCAATTAATTGTATGTTAAAATGTGTGTGTGTGAAAAATATCCAATTAAACAGATGAGTATCTGAAATGATTTGCAGTATAAAATTTGATTCCAGTGACATCGATGATATCAGCACGGATATCTTGCATCTCGATATATGGTATGTCTTCGTAAGTAGGTTTCACCTACTTAAAACAGATACCAATTAACACGATATTAAAAAATGATTCATTGAATTTGTAGGGACCACGACGATGAATCTTCGGTATTCGACGCCGTAAGTAAATTAAACGAGGTACGAGGTGTTAAAGGTCTTGGAAGATTTTTTAAACAAATAGCTCAAAGTGCACGTTCCGGTAGTCAAGATGACTTCTTAGGTTGCGTGAATATTCCACTTCAGGTAGAATCCCATATTCATAAAATGAAATGAAATTAAATGAAAATGAATGAATAGCAAGGACAAATGAATTTATCTGATTTTCTTTGAAATATTTTAGGATATTCCAAGCACAGGATTGGAAAATTGGTATAGACTCGAGGCAAGAACGCAAAGGAGCAACATACAAGGTAGAATCAAATTAAAGTTGTGGTTATCCACACGGGAAGACAGAGGAACATCCGAAGAAGATAATTGGGCTGAACTTAGACAACAGGAAAGACTTTATACCGTATTCCTTGATCACGAAATGAACAAACAAGGGGTATTCAATGAATTTTTACAAACATTTCAAACAATTTGTGTGTCGATTGTTTACACAATCACGCTTTTATTCCAACTTTATATTTTTTGTTTTTTGGGGGGGGTTTTTTCTTTTTTTGTAGGAAAACTTCACAGGTGAATTACCATTAACGGCACTGACAATTCTTCACCAACACGCGGTGCAAGGTGACGTAACGGAATTACAACAAACAATGATCAAATGGATCGCCAGTTCGAAACATCCAGGTGTCGATATGAAAGTTTTGCATCGTCTTCTTCAGGTAAACATTTTAAATCCGTTGATTATAATAATATTATTAACGACAAATGTTAACGTTAGATAATTTGATTTTGTTAAATAACATTATTTTTCAGGAAATGGATAGTTTATGGCATTTGAAAAAAACGGAAACGTCATCGCGAGACGAGGAACAATCTCTGGCAGATTCTTTCAACGATTTTTTAGAAGTATCATTGAAGAAAATTCAACAACATCGTACGTTATATCCACCATTGCATCGATCATCGATCTCCAAACTCGAAAATTTACTGAGGTGAATTTTCAATTATATTTTTTGAGTATACCAACCGATGAACAAGAATCTTTCCTTCTCTTTTACAATTGGATTTGGATTGATTAATACATTTATTTATTTAACTTTATTTTCAGATGTTTGGGTCTTTTATCAAACATGAACGCTTTTTCGTTGTGTTGTCCATTTAACAAGGAAATAAGGGTAGAAATTGTAACAGCCCTTAAAAAGGGAACTTTCGAGTGGTACATTTCAATCGATAAGAGAAAAATGTTATGTTTTTTTTTTGTTTTTATATAAAATATTTCTCTTCAAATTATTCACATTTTAATCTCTAGGTACGAGAACGTACGACATCAAACAATGTATCACGATCAAGAACCTGATCAAGATGCGGATCGTGTCTTGCAAGATTTTACAAATTTAGTCACGGCACTATTGGTCGACTTGGAACAGGGTCGTATGTATTATAATATTCTCTTTGAAAGGTAAGCTAGATACCTGTATAATATTTTTCATTATTTATCGAATCAGAAAGTGGATTTTACATTTTGATTAACTCGTTATATATATTTTAAATATTTTGCTTTCAGTACAAACGGTGTACCATATTTTTCGATAGTTTACAAGCAGTTGGAAAAATTGGTAAGCATTTAGAATACGAAAGCAATTAATATCAATGATGAGAATTATTTGAAATTTGAAAGGTTTATTACGTCACTGCGAGAAAAAAAGAACATACACGTGACCACATAAAACACACGATGTTATTTATAAAATTATCATTTTTTTTTTTAACCTCGTCGAGCTCGATGTGCTATGTTTGGCTTTGACGCTTTGATCGCAGACATCGATCGTATTTTTATATGCTCTCTTTTCTTGTGTTATATTTCATTTATTTAATTATTTTTATATATATATAAATTTATTTTAATTATTACGTCAATATATTAAAAAAAAAAGCACGATATTATGACGTTACTTTAATAGATTCGATCGATGTTATATTACATACTTACAATTCAATTATGTACACATATGCGTGCCACATACACATATTTATTATACAAGATATGAAAAGCTTGCGATATTTAAGAAAATGATTATGTACCGTTGACGTGTACAAGAAAATGAAAGGATTCACATGAGTTTATTTGTCCATCGGTTCATAATTATTTGACTGTACACATAATGTTTTTTCATAGCTGGCGGAACACGTGACGAAACACATGGAGAACACTTCCGAGGTACTTTTCTAACGTCGATTAACAAAATGTTAATCTCTCCTTGTCTTTATTTCTTCCATATTCTTCAATTTTCCTATAGATGTCAAAGTATTATAAATTACCTGTCGACCCTGACATTCATCTTCTGTATAACTGTGGTCATGCAATTTCAAAGAAATAGAATTTTATATAGAAGAAAAAGAAGAAGAAGAAGAAAAAAAAATAAAGATATTTTTGATATTAGTTAAACACCACTTTACTTTATCTTTTACTATAACATTATTTCTTTATAACATAATATTATCATTGTAGTTAATTAATACAAAGTCTTAATTGCAAGACATCAAGAGACTAATGTACAATTACATATCGACACGAGAATAGTGCTTAATCCTTTTTAAAGATTCTTTTCTTTTCAGCGGAAATTCACTTATTTCCTCGATAAATGTTAAGTAACACTGGCACTGCAGTATGTGCTGCACGTATGTCATTTAGATATGCATGCTAGTAGTGAATGCATGAGAATTTATTGAAAATTGCATTACCTACCTATTTCAATTATTAATCTAATTTTTGACCATGACACAATATTGTGATATAACATTTTTACAATAAAACAAATATTTTCAATCGAAAGCAATATTTCTAATATCGTTCATTAGATTATTATAATATCTAGATTTATTATCTCATTTGTATTGTTTCGTTTAAATTAACAATCGTTAATAAATCAAACATTTGAATTTGGAATTATGATTTTTGTTTTTTTTTTTTTTAAATAAAATCATTCTTTAAATTAAATCAATGAATTTTGTTACGAGATTTATTTCATGTAGCGACAGATACGAAATATTTGTTTACGCCTCGAGATAATTGAAAAGAAAAAAAATTACCCAATCATTATATGGATTAAAATATTAATCATTAAATAATTGGACAGATCCAAAATGAACTCGGTGCAAGAGTCACTACTGCTTGTCTTCAACTTCACGGACAAAACAGCGATGTAGATTACGTTTTACCACCGGGCGCAGAAATTGGAACACCAATTTTTGAATTTTATCTAGCATTGCAAAATTTTGTCAGGTATATTCATTATATACACACACAGAGTGTAATAATAATAATAATAATTTATAAAATACTTATATTTTAATTTTTCTTTTGTATTCTCAGTATGAAGGAAAAGTTACCATTATCTGATCAGAAATCTCTGATAATTTGCAAATATTACGAGTTATTTAGACCAGCAGTTGACAAATGGTTGGATCTAGCAAAATTGAAAGCAGTTCAAAGAATTAGAAGAGCTACGGAATTGGATCGAATTTGTACCGGTGATTTTATAGTAAAACATTGTACATCTGCAATCGACGCAACTGCGTGCTTTTATCAGGTAATATATTTACATATATATTTGGTATTGTAATTTAATACGATAACGGTGTCTACTATATAAGCATATTTTCGAATAAATTTTTTAAATATTTATAGATCAAAGAATTTTGGAAAAAATTAGAATGGCCAGATCTTGTTGGATCGTACAGTTTCGTCTCAAAGGTTATTGATGTAAGTGATTTCATGAAATTATTCCATTTATTTGTATTCAAAACAATGTTTTAAATGTAATCATGTATAAGTTTTGTTTCTTATATAGGCTATCTGTACTCCTGCTACTTATTATGCCGAAATAATCCATAAAAAATTAGCAGAATGTGGATATTATGACGACCAGACACCGTATAAAACTACGGATGAGGTAATCGATCAGAATTAGATTGTTTATTTTTTGAATTTACGCAGTAAATAGTGCTTTGTAATATCATTGAAAGATAATATTGAGCGAGTACAACATTTTTATATATATTATTTTAACGAATCATAATAATTTTTAATAAAGTTTGTAAGTATGTTATATAATATAATTATATATAAAATAAATAATTAATAATTTAAATTAAAAGTATAAAAATTATGAATTATTCGCATAACATTGTCAACAAATATTTCACTGGATAGAAATCTATTGTGATGATTATAGATAGCGCATTAGATATAATTTAGAAAATATTTGAAAAATCTTCTTTCTTAATTTTTTTTGTTTTTTTTTTATCATTTCTTTTTTCACATTAATTTTTTTACAAGTAGACATAAAATTTGATTGTTATAAATATAATGGATATAAATCACTGTATACATTTTGTACAATCATACATAAATTAGCATTAAACAATAAACTTTAAATTATCATTTTACTAATATATTATAATTTTGTTTTATTTTTTTGTTTAGATGTGCGTAGCTATAAACGGTTTAGAATATGTAAGAAGATGGTTATTAGATCTGGGAGAAGAACTTCAGGTTGAGGAAATTCTAACAGAATTGGAAAATCAAGCTGGAGATTCTGTTCGAGTGCAATGGAGAAATGCATTGACTTTACCATTGGAACAAACACCCGGACAAATGTTAGTTTACATTAATCAAATTGTTTCGAGAATCGGCATGAAGGTAATAATATAATACGAAAAATATATAATAATAGAATAATAAATATATCTCTAAAAATACTCGCTCGCCGTTCAGATGAGACCATCTTTGAAGAAATCAATGTTTCATCTTGCCTGGTCACCGGACAGTTTACCGACATCCGAAGCAATCAATCCGTTATTGGAATATTTAGATGTGCATTTGGTTGCACTTAATTCAGCCCTTTTAGCAGTGAATTTTACGCGTGTCTTACAGGACGTTTGGGAGGTAGTATTAAGTGAATTGAGCAATCAAATGGATGGAAATGCAGGAGTACGTTGTTATAAAAGATGATTATAAATTTATCCTCATTAATAATGAGATAATGTTAACATTGATTTTATTTTAGGACAAGCCATCCGTATTTTACGAAAGATTACACGATGCGCTTCTTCTGTTGACCAAATTCTTTCATGCGGATGAAAAGGGTCTACCTTTAGGGATACTTCATAGTCGAAATTATTTAAATGTGGATGAACGATTGAAATATCATACAATGGATACGAATTATCTTATTAATCGTTATTATTATCAACGATTGCAGGTAACAATAATTCATGTCAGTAATAAGAAAATAATTGTTGAAGAAATCATTCCAAAAATATTAGAATTTGTTTCATTGAATTTTTCTACAGGACCAAATGAACACCATGACATCCGAGTATGGTGTTTTGACAGTAAGAGCATATTTGAATCACGATTCGCTTTGCGTCGAAGTGATTAATGCTAGAGACGTAATACCGTTAGATCCAAATGGTTTTAGCGATCCATTTGTAATAATCGAATTATTACCACGAAAAGTTTTCGAACATTGTGCTGAACAACAAACTAACGTTAAGAAAAGAACTTTGAATCCGATGTTCGACGAGTGCTTCGAATTGTAAGTTTATGAATTTTCTCCTATATTTCCCTTTTCTTTTCTTTTTTCAGAATAATGGGTTTGATTTTTTATTGAATAATACAATTGAATTCTTTGTTTAAAATAAAGTTCCGTAAGCGTTGAACAGTGCCAAAGTCCTGACGCTATAGTATTATTCACCGTAATGGATCACGATGTACTCACAGCTAACGATTTTGCTGGTGAAGCATTTTTGGGATTAAGCACGATACCCGGTGTAGCTGACACTAATACCAGTATAGATAATTTTCATGGCCTCAAACATACTGAGTTACCATTAATGCACCAAAAAAATCGAAGTAAGTAGTATACGCTTAGAGTAAATTTTCCAAAATTCAACTTCAAATGATTTTTATATTATTTATTAATGAAAAAATATTTAATCAAATATATTAGGTGCATTTCATATTTGTATAAATCACTGTATATTAATACAATATAATCCTATATAAACATAAAACAAAATTAATTTAAATATAAATATAAATAAATATAAATATAAATAAATATAATCCTTTATATATATATAATGTAACTTTGTGGTTAAATACCAATATATTATCTAGATTTTTTATTTTTTATTTTATTTCTGTGTATATATATTTTCGTCATAACCTCTATTTTGTAATGAATAAACAATTGTTTCCATCTTTGAAAATTATAAATGCATTGGTAATTTGTATAGTAATATTTATTGATTATATATTATATATATTCTTGTCTCGATTTCTATTTCAGACCATCCAATTCTTCAAATTTTGGAAACGAGAGCCGGTGATAAGCTAGCCCTCGACTTCGTAAAGAAACAAAAACAACGATTCGCCACATCATAAAAATGTTGGCATCATTCTAATGAATAAAAATCTACTAAATGCACAGGTTAAGAGATGGTCGAAGATAATATCAACGGTTATGAACGAACGAACGAACGAACGAATGAATGAATGAAAAGAATTTAGCTCGTTAATATCTTTTCTCTGGATATTTAACGCCAATTAATCCTAATAATGTCTTGTGTAAAATAATCTCACGTGTTTGAATTTAAATCAATGTTTGATAAGAAAACGTGGGGGGGGGGCGGGAGGAAAAACGAGAACATCAACACAAAAATTTATTTTTTTCTGTTTGGAGGACGAACAAATTTACTAAAAAAGAAAAAAAAAGAAGAAAAAAAAGAAGAAAAAAAAGAAAAAATATGTCTGTGTGATGTAGTTAACGGTAAATGTTCATAAAAAAACAAAAATTGTCGTCCAACTCGGTATGTACGATTTGTTGAATTTAGAAGGATATTAACTAACTAAAAATAAAAGGGCAATAAAAGGAAAGAACTGAACTGAAATGAAATGAAATGAAAAGTCTCGTCTTGTCTCGTCTCGTCTCGTCTCGTCTGGTCTCGTCTCGTCTCGTCTCGTCTCGTCTCGTCTCGTCTGGTTTTGACGTAATGTAATATGTAAAATGTATATATATGTACCTATGTTCTTTCGGATCACCGCTAAATGATCGATCTTATTCTCGAAAAGTTACTTTATATGTTATACTATACCTATTTTGGATCGTTTCGAGAATATATAATACTAAAGAATTAAAGAAATGAAAAAAGAGAATATATGATCGATATACAAGAATATTTTTCTTACTCGTCGTTGGTCAATATAATATCTAACTTATTCTATCTTTCTCTATATGCCAGGATCAAAAATTCACGACAATGATATCCGATTACGAAGTTAAAAAAAATTGTGGCATGCTAATTAAAATAATATATCGAAAGATTATTATTATTATTATTATTATTATTGTAACAATGTGAATAATGTGCGATTAAATCGGTAACATATTGAAAGATAAACGACACCACGTCTTAGCACACGACTCTTTGGTGAACGAACAACAACAAAATCTATCGAAAAATCATGCGATCCAAATGGTAAATGTGAAAAAAAAGAAAAAAAAAAAAAAGAAAAGACCTTGGAATCGTAAGTTTAATACAAACATGGGTGTGTTTACGCCTAATTTCATTTGCTCGAACAATCTCTATTTTTCCTACTATCTCTATATTTCTCTCTTTCTATCTTTCTTATGCGATTTTATGAAAAAAAAAAGAAAAAAAAGGAAAAAAAAAAAAAAGAAACGTTTAATGTCGAGAAGTAGGGGTATATATCTTCTTATTTTTGTGTGATGATTGGGACAAACAAATTCGTAATACATTTATGATGTATAGTTTTATGGAAGTCGAGGAAAAAAAAATATGAAAAAACATAAAAAAAGAGAGAGAAAGAAGAAGGAGAAGTATATAATAAGAATACAAAAAATTGAAAGAGAAACTAATCTAAAGCGCATAATACACGTCAATTTTTTTCTAATGCACGTATATATATAACTTTGCGCCTTCCCCGTGTATCTTGTATATATACGAATGATCAGGATGTTATGTAAAACAACATTTAACACATTTGACGCGCCTTACAATATATAAAAAAAAAAAAAACAAAAAAAAAAGCAAAGTTTAATTAAATAATAGTTATACCTATACACCGCGTATGTTTTAACCATGATAATATAAACTTCGTGCATCGAATCAAATCGAACTTGTTAGTATATTTTGCTTTTTTCAGACCACCAAAAACGTATGTACAATCTATCTTGTATTGTGAGAACAAATAAACAATATATATATATATATATATATATATATATATATATGTATATATGCATATATACATATGTATAAAAATGATTGCTTATTCATGAAGAAGAAGAAAAAGGAAAGAAAAAGAAAAGACAAAAAGTAATATAAATTATCTCTATTAATGGGTAAAATTATGGCGTATCTTCAGAAATTTTGGAATTTTGCGGAGAACCCTCATTCCTAATTAACATTGATTGATTGACAAACGTATTGTCCTCGGTTCTAATAATAGGTTCGCCATCTAATTTTTCTAAATATGGCAAACGTCGTGCAACTTCTAGCCTCCATTGATCCACCTACAGAATAAATAATATCAAATAATTGATAATATATTTTTTGAATACGTAAATGTGAGAATGTTCTTCTTGTGCTCGTGATAATTGGTGCTACCTCGAAACTATCGTACAGCGGATTTCCAACGAAAGATAAATCTCTGATATTTGTTATTTCTTGAAGTCTGCCAAATTCGGTCCAATCTCTTACCAAATTGTTAGACATATACAATGTTCGAAGATTCTTCATTGCATTGATTCCTTTCATTTTTTCGATATAATTGTATGAAATCCATAATTCCTCTAAAGTATCGCCAAGTGGTTCGAGACCGGAAAAACTTTTAACAACATTACGGCCCAACGATAAGATTTTTAAATTTTTTAATGTTCCAATTCCTACGAAATAATATACATGATTTATTTTGTATCTTTTCCAATTGATAAAAATAAACTCTACCGAAATTGTACAAGTGTCAAATAACGATACCAATATTATCAATTTAATATCAAAGACGACACACTAATCTATTCACAATTAGTATACGTGGGAGAGTGCCATAATATGTAGGAAACTATAATAAAGAATTCGTGTCAATCTAGATTATATAGAGGATGTTTTCAATTATATATATATATATATATAAAATATTAGCATTTTTAATAAATGAGAATTAAGGGAGATTTAAGTTTCGATAATAGAAACAAAAAAATAAGACTTTTAACATTTTTCAGACTGCTTCGTCAATTAAACGAAGAAATTTATTCATAGTTAATTTTTTCTTTTTTTTTCTATCATTTTCATCGATACAATCGAATATCTCTAATTCAATTAGTTTAACAACAAATATATTGCAGCTATTTCTTAGAGCCCTTATTCCTTTCCTATTTTGTCAAGACCCGAAGTAATAATAATTTTTTCAAAATAGAAATCCATATTTTAATTTTAACTAAAGTTATAGAAAATACTAAATACGAATCTAACAATCATCTAAAGGATATATTTGAATGAATATTTCATCGAGTAATTGTTCATTGAAGTATAAAACGTATATACGATTTCTCAAAAAAAAATGTCTATTTTTATAAATTCTCACCTGTAATCTTTTCAATCATATTCGTAGATAAAGATAATTTTTCACATCCGGTTAAACTAGTCAGAGAGTTGTCCATTTTTTCTATAGGAAGCCATTGAAAACTAAGATTAATTTCTTTCGCAGTATTAGGATCCTGTTTGTTTTCTTCCTCCCAACGTCGTATCGCTTCTTTACAAGTTGTTGCTTTAACAACTGCCATTTTTTTCTTTCTAATAAAATTTGTTCAATTTACAAATTGCTAATCGTAAAGAAAAAACACACACACAGAGAGAGATAGTAAAAGAATATAAAGAGAAGTATAAAACTATAAGAAAGGATAAAAATTCGATTTGTCATTGGATGATAGTGATCGATAACGGTACCAAGGTAACAATCAATGTGTTAATGCGCACGCTTCCATCTAATTCTTGGTAAGAAAAATATATACGTAAAAACATTTACGTGCCAATGAAAATGATGATTTGAAATATAAAGGACGACGAGATAGGAATATGAATAAGGCTCTTAAACATATGACAAAATTTCGTAGAAAATTTTTAAAGAATAACAGACACTTTTTATTGCATATAGATATATATATATAAAAAAAAAGAAAAGTGTCAGATTAATGAAATATTATTATCGAGGATGGGTTTTAATGACGATATTCGTTTGCATTTGTGCGATCGACAAATATATGTTCATCTATTTTAATTTTATATCCCTCGTAAAAAAAAGAAAAAGAAAATCTAGCGGAAAACTAATGAATCGAAAAAAGATGAAGAAAATAAAAGAAAAGAAAAGATAAATGACACTCCTAATAAATCGTATAATAGATAAAAAGAAAGAGTGTACTCTTCGTTGTACAATACATCTCATTTTATATTTATTAAATGCGTCGCATTATTACCGGACGCATTCTAAATGTTTTTTTTTCATCGATTAGAATGAATTAAAGAGTTACGATCGATGCGGATAAGCGATTACTTTCGTACGAAAATCAGGTCGACTTTTCTTCCTCCTTTTTTTCTTTTTTTTTTTCTTTTTGTATTTTACTTCTCTTTTCTTTTGCTTTCAAACGTCGCGGATATCGATCAAACATCTTTGTAAGAACGGCATGGTGGTGGTGGTGCACTCCATATTCCATTCTCTCGACACGTAGGCTTTCTGACAGGTTCCAAAGGTGTGACGTAACCAGGAGAGCAGGTCACCTGTATATTACATTTTTTACATGTACCTAATAATTTCGTATTTTTCTAACCGATCATTCCGCGAATTTGCTGATAAAAGATATAAACGATAGAAGAAAATATATCATTTTCAATATACTGACTTGTATATTATCGCCAGGTGTATACCAAAATTTCAACGGTGAAATTCGCCCATGCGGAGGATCACCAGGATACGGGCATCTTACTTTACCTAAAAACGTTTTAAACTATTGCTTCTATTTCTTATTTGTTTTGTTTTGTTTTTTAAATTAATAAACATTCTAGCAGTCAAATTTTAATCACCAATAGAAAAAAGAAAAAGAAAAGAAAAAAAGAAAAGAAAAATGATAAGTAAACTTGTGAATACACTGTAATATTCATCGAAAAAATATAAAATATTCTAACAAATGGTATTTTCTCTAAACCAATAAGGTTTGTAGGATCCTATACTGTGTATCCTATACTATATCATTTATTATAAAATCAAGTATATAGGTAAATTAAAATGTAAGTATCAAAGTGAACAAGAGGATCGTATTAAACATATGTGTTATTGGCCGAATATAAAGATAAAAATGAAGTCAAATAAAATTAAGATTAAACGAAACTTACAAACTGGTGATTGATGCGACCACGTGCCATTTTCGGTGCAAATTACAGAAGCTTCCCCTATCAATTGATGACCCGGTAAACAGGCAAATTTAACGAGAGCTCCGACCTTATAGATACGATTACGATGGTGTTTTCTACGATTAGATTGTAAGATTTGATCGACAATTCGACCACTTCGCGGTAACGATGGCGACGGACACGTTATCTCTGAAAACATAACGAATAAATATGAAATCAATTGTTCGTTTTGAATGTATATACAGGACAGGGGATGTAGTATGCATTTGGATGAGAATTTTGTGCTGTTTGTCGTTAGGATCAAATTAGCTCGGATAATAAATCAGGATTGTAAATATTAAAAATGAAATGTGAAATTTACCGAAACAATTAGGCGTTGTTCCGTTCCACATGCCATTCCCTTCGCACTTGATGCTCTGAGATCCCATTAATTTATGACCCCACATACAAGCGAAAACAGCCCTGCCGCCAAAACTATTGTTGTGCTCTAGCAGTTGTAACCAAGTATCACTGGGAAGATCTATCGCCGGACAGGTTATTGCCTCGCAACGTGGTATATCTCCTGACCACATTCCTAGAATATATCGCACGACGACGGGAGTCTTCGCTTAACTCTCTCCTACGATCGAATTATTTCGACGCCTTATACTACAATTCGGCCGCTCGACAGGAGAATTATATAGTGTCCTTTACATTTCAATGTATGAAATAATGGTGTATGACCTATGACTTTAACACGTTTACTGCCACGCGAATTCTTAAGGAATTCCTTTAGATTTGGCTTAAAGGCCACGCACGCGCGTTACTTACTAGTGAAAAAATAGTTGAACGTCAGTCACCGATGACTGACGACGTGGCAGCAGCAATCAACGTGTTAGCCTCTTCAAATGAAAAATCATACTATTAACTCGCCGATGACAAATATACTATTTTCATTTGTATTTTTTCTTCTTTATTTTATTCCTGACACACAAATACATTATTATGCTAAATTTCTTTTTCCCTGGATCCAAATTTCACATTTATCCATTGCAATAGTTTCGACGTAGGATTTTTTTTACAGGATTTTCATGAAAAATGTCGAAAGTCTTGAAGAGGTTAACGCGTCGTACCGAATATGTAAATATATTTCAATATTAAATATCTTTTTTATGTAACTCATATTAGTTAACAGTATTGCAGCCCTGTCGCGTGGTCATTAAAACTCCTCGGCCATCTACCATTGTGTTCGCATCGAAATTTAGCATGAAAACATTTTTAGAAGCAATTGCTCACCGTTATACTGACACGTTATCATCGAAGCACCTTCTAATCTATAGCCAAGGGGACATTCGAAATTAGCACTGTGACCCATCCGTGCACCCTCGATTTTACCGATCAACGGTCCCTCTGGTAAATTTATTACTGGACACTGGACGTCTAAAAGACGAGATAGATTCAATTTTCATGGTTTTTTTTTTGTTTTCTTTACATTGAAACTAATTCAAGGATTATTTATAAAATTCAAATCTTACCAACTACGTGAACTTTTATAGAATTTCCTAGGCCTCGTGGAGTTGAACACGTGTATACTCCAGAGTCCTGAACTTTTGCGTAATATATCGACAATCGATACTTCCAATCTCTCTCTTTAGCAGCGATCGCCCATCCTAATTTTTATAAATCATTTTATTTAATATATATATTATATTGTATTTTGTGATTACTTTTAGAAAGAAAAATTATATTTAAGGTGTCAATTATAGTTGTTTATCACGACAAAAAATAAAATGATTAATAAATGTGTCGCAGGGAAATTGGATAGGGTTGCGAATTTAGAACGTTATTTTTCAATCTTATTGAACGTGTTTCGTCCCTTCATCGAGACGAACTTATTCAGCAACGAACAATTACGACTTTTTTTTTGAATACATATTAATGTTTTATATAATATGTTTAATGTTAATTTATGTAAAATGTTTGATAATATGTATTTTTTGAAAAAAAGTCGTAATAAAATTTCAGTTGCTGAAGAAGAAGTCCCGATTAAGGGACGAAACAAACGTTCAATAAGATCGAAATAACCATATAAATTGTCTGTGCTTGCCTGTCCAATTTCCCTCAAAGATACATTTATCATTATATTTATTATTATATTGAAATTTCTGACCCGTTAAATATTGACGATAAGTCGACGTCCAGGTCCATTCTGGATTGCCTAATCTTCTAGCAAAAAGACACTCCAAATGAAGGATGCTCCCAGGAAATACCGCAAGCGTACCAGTGGGTTCGATAGCAGCTGAACCTGCTGGCAATCCGAAGACGATCGTCGGTGGAACGTCTTCTGGATCTCCTCGAGTAAGAAGAGGAGTTGTTAATTAGTTGTTGATGTACACAAAATATTTCCCATTATTTTCAATATTAATCTAAAGATATTGGAGTTATCTAACCGGTGTAATTGGAAATAGCCGTAGTAGGCACGCAAGACGGTAATTTCCCATTCCACGTTGCATTACGACAATGTAAGGATGGATCACCGATGAGCTTGTATTTTCCAAGTTCACGACACCTAACCATAACGCGTTCCCTATGAGGTACCGTAATTTTGTCTACCTGTGAAAATAATAATCCTTTAATATTCGTATTTAGAACGATATTATATCTGATATTATGTTATACAAATATTAATATCTAAAATTAATCAATGATCAATTAAATATAACTTACCGATATGGTGATATTTTTGTAAGTAACGATGAGAAGTGGATGCAAGCCTTCCAACCTGCATCCCTCTTGTAAAATAAGTTTGTCTGAGAATAAAGTAATGAATCAGATCAAACAAAGGAAAATCTAGAAGAATAACATTTGGATGGACAATTGACAAACCTAATTGTTTCGCATCGCCAAGCTCGCTGACCGTCATCAAAGCGATCACGAAAATCGCGAAACAAATTGATATTGCGTTGCCGCATCTATCTCTCGGTTTCTCACGCGTCCTTTTCGTCAACGTCGTCAACGTCGTGGCTTCTCTTTTCCTCCTCCTCCTCCACCTCCTCCTCCTCCTCCTTTCGTCCTCGATCAACATCCTGACCATCAACCACCACCACCACCACCTACCTCCTTAACGAATCAAACAAATCGCATTCAACTTAATCGTCTTCCTTCTTCTTTTTTTTTACTCTGCTTTGTTTTTTTTTTACGTTGATGCTACATTTTCCAGTATTAAATTTCGGCGGACCTCCCTCCCACCCTCCTATCCACCGTTTTTACCGCATCCACTCAACTTTCCACCAAAGGGTGGAAAAGTCTAACTGGTCGAAGAAAGAGAACAATTCATCGGATTCGTTGCTGACTATCGCAGTCTGTCTGACCGCAAGAATAATACCAAGCCTCGGCACGATCAATGAACAAAACTGATTCACTTAAGACTAACATCAATTGGGAAGAGCATTATCACTGCCTATCAGATCTGTCAAACGTTTCCCATACTTGTCGCTAACTATCTCTCCTTTTAACGGACGTACATCTATAACATAACCGACGTGGTGGTACTCCCTCATGAAATAGAGAATAGGGTGGAAATAGTGGGAGTAGGGGGAGAAGAGAAATGTCGAGAAACGCAAGCGCAAACATGCATATTCGAACGTATATCTCTCTCTCTCTCTCTCCCTCTCTCTTTAGAACTTTCGCTCTAATCGTAAGCGTACGTACACTCCCTGACAAAAATTTATTGCAGATACGATGTTATTTCAAATTTCAATTGTAGTTTCAAAAGAAATTATTTTTTCGAAAATAATTATATAATGCGTAAAAAAAAAAAGATTTTTCTTCATATTTAAACCAAACCAAATCTTCAAAATTAGATTTACCAGCTATTTTGATATACCTATATTTCTACCAAAACCAGTCTAAATGATGAGGTCTTTCAAAAAAAGTGCTTGATGAGGTACAAATAGCAATAGGAAAAAATATATTTCCCACGAATACACTCAGTTTTCGAGTTACGACCACCTCGACTTAAGACGAAAGAAAAAAAACAAAAAAATAAAAGCCATTACATTTGCTTATATAATTGTGCCATCCCCCTCCCACATGTCTATAATTGATTATATTACTTTTTTCATTGGTTATTGACTGATATTTAGTTATTCTTTAATTGTTATTAGGTAAGCAGTTATTTTTTAATTAAATATCTCAATTTTTTTTTATAATAATGAACAAAGAAATGAAAAGAAAAGAAATTGTGAATACAGACAGACAACGACTGACTGACACCTCAAAGAGAGGTAATTACAATACAAATTTTTATTTAAATATTTTAAAGGGCGTACTCTCTCTTTAGGATACGTCAATACTATATATATATATGCCTATTATGTTATATTATTTATCTTTGTATGAAATTTGACTTACGTCCGAAGTTGCTGAACCGAACCCTGTCGTAAGTCGAGAACTGACTGTATATATAAGATAATATAAAATTCATGAAATTGATTCTTTAGTTATAGTTACAAAAGTCATGATATCATTACGGAAAGAAAATGTTAACATGCAGTAGGGATTTTCAATTGAAATTGCAAGATCAGTCATTTTGAGTGATCTGGTAAATCTAGTGTTAAAATAATACCCAGTTCGTTACAATTGATTTTGAATTGTACCTGATGCGTTTAAAAAAAAGGTGTACACATGGTTTTCGACACTTTTACTCGCAATTAAATGAAAACGAAAAATAAAGAGGGAAATTCAAAAGTAAAAATAGAAATCTACTATTATCGAAGCTCGGTAAAATCAAAATCTATCGTAACCGACGTAATTCTTTAAAAATTATAAATATATACGTACAGTGACTCACACAAAAGAATTTCAACAGTTGCCATAAAATATTTTATTAATTATAATAAGTGTATGTTATATAGAACAGTTACCGACATATTATTAACATTGGATGGAGGTATGACTCTGTAGATTATACAGATATAGTTTCAAGCAAATCGAAATATATACGTAATAGTTATTTTTAATTATTAGTAATATTTTTAATTTCGATTCTCATCTGAAAATATTACTTTATTCCAGAAAGGAATCATCTTTGCTAATAAATTCTTTGACAAATTTTAATCTTTTCTTCTTATTAATATCACTAATGTATTGTTTCTTTCTGGGAATCCTAGTATGATAATCATTTTTACGTAACACTCTTCTACATAGCTTTGGATGTACATCTTTATTAAAGTTTTGGTTAACTATTGTTGCATATTTTGTAGCAGTAATCTTTGGATTTTTTTTATTTCACGGATCAATGCTCTTTCTTCTCGTTCCGCTAACTTCTTTGATCGACCTGAACAGTATTTATTTTTTATTTCGTCGACCTGAACGGTATTTATTTTTTGTAATTCCTCCAGATTTCGATATTTTAATAATGTAATAAGTCGTAAATCTATTTATATTTAAAAATTTACTTATTCCACCGAACGATTTTCCTTTTTTGCGCCACTAAACAATTAATATTCTAAAATTATACTTTCAGAAATTATAGATCTTTTCGGACTCATGATCAACATCGTAATATATCATCAAGAATACTGAACTGTAACTGACAAATCTACATACGGCAACAATTAATGACCTTCAATGTATCCATTTAGTACTGGAAAAACATTTATTTTCCTTATTTCTTGATCTTACACAAGTATAAAAAATATTTAACGAAACTTTTCGAAGAAATTGCAAAGATGCACAATTTAAAACATTGCATTCTATAACATATTATGAACATTTGCAGATCGATTTAAAAGTCAAAAAAGTATTATATCCGTGGACAAAAGAGTGTATTTTAATGTAATATAAAGTTTATTAAAATTTGTTCACTCTAACTATAAAAAATATTGACGAGAACGTTCAAAAGATTTGACAGCTATGTGTGAAAAATTTGCAATTTACAGCATTTCATTCCCCGGGATTTTAAGTATTTAAAACGCGAGACTACCAGCTTAAAAAAGTATTGTAGGTGTAGGGCAAAGAGAGTACTGTAATTTCAAAGAAAGTTTATTAAAATTTGTTAACTCTAACTAAAAAAAATATTGACGAGAACGTTCCAAAGATATGACAGCTTTGTGTGAAAGATTTGCACTTTACAGCATTTCATTCTCTGGGATTTTAAGTAATTAAAACGCAAGACTTTAATCTTGGAAAGGTATTCTTCGAGTAGGGACAAGACTGTACTTTAATTTAATATCAAGTTTTTTAAAACTTTTTTCCTTTAACTATAAAAAATATTGACGAGAACGTTCGAAAGATATGACTGCTATGTGTGAAAGATATATCCTTTACAGCATTTCACTCTCTGGGATTTTAAATATTTAAAACGTGAGTCTTGCAGCTTTGAAAAGTATTTTTCGTGGATGGCAAAGACTGTACTTTAATTTAATATAATAATCATTAAGATTGAACGACTATAAGTATGAAAATTATTGTCGCAAACTATCCAATAAAATACATTTCTTTCTGATCCTGCGTGAGGTATGTCCGATTGGAAAGTTATTTAAACAATAAACGACATAAATATTTTCTGATATTTTGTGAACTTTTGAAGATCGATTTATTACTAGATATAGTATTCTTTCCGTAGGAATAAGAGTTTAATTTTATTTAATATGTAGGTCACTTATATCTTTTTACCTTAAGTATAGGAAATCTTAACGCAAGATTTTCAAATAAATTACAAAGGTGTGCACTGTCCCGCATTGCATTCTCGGAAATCTTATGTCTAATAGATTGTTGATTACGCACACACAACTTGGTGTATTTTAAGATATAATATTATTCATACATTTTAACTACTATCGGAACACAAACTGCAAACAGTTGAATAGAATCTTGCTAATAGTAATGACCCTAAAACAAAAATTAATTTTATATATATATATATATAACATATAACTTATATATTATGTTAATATAATAAGTTTTCTTATCCAAAATACGAATAATATAAATAGCTAATAGCAGATAATATATACCGTTCATCTAATTTAAACCTGTCCAAAAAAATA